ACCACACCCCACCCCACCCCACCCCACCACTGTCCCCTTGCCCACACTCTGCCCCTATTACCTGCACTCCCAGTGAAGAAAATGCTCTGGCCTTTCAGGACGACCTGCAGCACAGCAGCCTGTTCTTCAGAAAGCTGTGGCTTGGTTGGGGGCAAGCTCAGCCTCTTCACAGGTAGGGGCCACTTTGGGGCTTCCTGAGGGGGACAAGGCTGCCTCAGGACCTCCTCCCACCCCCTAGGCATTGCTCCCACCCTTCTTGGCCCATGTGCAATGCTAGGCTTGATAGCCCTTTGTTTCTCTGCTGGCTTCACACCTTGGAGCCCTTGGTCAGCCTTGGTTCACCAAGAGATTTTTTTTTTTTTGAAGGGGGGCAGCTGGCCAGTATGGGGATCAGAACCCTTGACCTTGGTGTCAGAGTGAACATTCTAATCAAGTGAGTTCACCTGCCAGCCCTGGTTCACCTGGAGATCTTGCCAGCAACTTTTGGGATCTAGGTCTCTCCTTGTGCCCTGAAGGTGCCCAGTGTGTGGGGTCTGGATCCTCTCTCAGCTCCCTACCCTAGATTGCCTAACATTTCCCTTCCTGTCACCCAACTTTCCTTCTCACTTCTCTTCCTGTCACAGGCCCGCCTCTCTCACCTCAAACACCCAAGCAAAACCGTGCCTAGCCAGGGCTCCTTCTTGCCCCATTCTCTGCTTCTTTTACTCTCAAATTCCTGTGGTTCGTGATCCACAAACATTGTGAGACCCAACAGACTGCACCCCTATCATCTGACACTGCTGACCACTTCGTTTTCTCCAAAAGCTCCTCTCCTCCAGGCCCACTACATTCTCCTACTTTTCCTTCTGAAGTCTGGTCCTCTGCTTTCTCTTTTATTGTGGCCTGGGCCCACATTTCCTTTTCTCGCTTACCCAGTCGCAGGGATTACACTCACTGTGAGAAACGCAGGCACAAATCCCACATCTCTCTCATACTTACATGTCCCGTGGGCATCTCCTGTGAGATAACCAGCGGTCCCCTCAAATACGCACCGTCTTCCCCCCAACCTTGGACCTCCTCGGTCTCCTCTGCCATCTTAAAGAGTGACGATGGGGCCAGCCCGTGGCTCACTGGGGAGAGTGCGGTGCTGATAACACCAAGGCCACGGGTTCGGATCCCTATATAGGTATGGCCGGTTTGCTCACTTGGGAGAGCGTGGTGCTGACAACACCAAGTCAAGGGTTAAGATCCCCTTACCGGTCATCTTTTAAAAAAAAAAA